AGATTTAGAGGTCATACTTGAAAGCAGCCAGCAGGACGAGGCAAAAGTTGGAGGCCCCTGAAAATAGGAGGCCCCCTGGAAAAGGAGGCCCCTTGACAGGGTGGCCCACCCACTTTTCATGACGTTCCTACGCCCGTGACAATAACTGAGTGGGAAGTTTTTTAGATGCACTTTTGTTACCAATGGATTCCGCACATTTTCCTCTTTCAGCTGATATCTTACTTACGCATTTTCAAGCAAAGAATATGACAGGAGACTCGTCAACATTTACATGAAAATCGCAGCACAAGTTCGGTCTCACGGAGCAAAACAAAACGGTGTACTTTGGGAGCCCACCAATCTGTGCCAGAATGAGTAATATTTTTTCTGGATGATATTTTATACAGTCTGATCAATTTACGACCAGAAAATGTAAGAAAATCACGCTTTAAAATTTGTCGAAAATTAGGGTATTGGCCACTTCTGAACCCAGATAGCGGCTGTGTGCAGTGGGGGGGGGGGGGAGGGGGAGGGCAGAGCCTGTTGACATGACTCGGCTCGGTGGCATGTCCGTGAAGTTAGCGTCAGCAACAGCAACGAATACAGCGTCGGATTCAGAATCGCTTCAAAAACTCCTATCCATTAGATCAATTGGGGGACGTGGAGCAAGAATATGACCTTTATTTCGCCCCAGCTCTTACCCCTTACCCCTTAACCCGCGCCCTGCTGGGGGGGGGGGGGTGTTTGAACCCCCCCCCCCCTGTGGTTTTTCGCGAATATCTCAAAATCGGCGGCGCGGAGCGCCGCCGTTTTTGGAATACCTTATCATACATCAATTCTACACATGTTGTAAAAATTTCAGACCAAGGTCATTCAAGGTCAGGTCACCAGGTCACTTGAAGTGACCTCACCTCATAAAAAGTTTCAATGTCTGTCATAGCTACACCGAGTGACCGATTGCTTTAAAACTTTCAGCGATTGCTAAGAGCAATAGCATGTACAAAATGTATATCTCAGAATTTTGATATCGATGACCTTCTAAATTTTGACCTTCCGGCGAGGGTTAACTCTCGCCGGCCCTTTGGAATGGGCCGGATGAATTCGTCATCAAACCGGTAAGGGATTTCGTTTGAAGACCACCGATATTTAAGAATATGATGGCCTTCAAACGAATTCGCTGGCAAATTCGATGACTGGATTGGGCGGCGTAGGATCTGCTGGTCATCTGACTATGGGTTGATAAGGGCCTAGTTGGGGGGTTCGTCGTGGGGTTCAAATGTAAAGCAATACGTTAGTTTTGACCTAGTTTGGGCTTCATTCGTTAAGTAGGAACAAGACGGTGCTTCTTTTGAACATCGTCACTAAACAAGCCGCCCTCGTTTTGACATTGTTTTTCGCTATTATTGTTACTAGGTACTTTGTTATTACACACAGCATTAACGAGGACCTGCTTCCAAAACAAGGCAGAAACGCTCCAGCTATTTCTGGGACGTGGTAAAAACTAACAGACACCTGGTAACTGTCATCTGACGAACACAAAACAAGCCAGGGGCTCGCAGCGTGTGTCAAAAGTAGGATGCAAAACTAGTCTGTACCCCCGACATTTAGCGTTGAGAATCATTTGACGAGGGGCTAGTCAATATTTTTTACAGTGTAGTTTAGCGGCAAACGTCACGTAGAATCGTCTTTATGGAAATTCCGGCCGGTTCTGAGTCATCACCTTTTTGCCACGTGTTTTTCTACCGTTTCTCCAGAACAGCCAATGGATGGTGCCATACACTGACGGATCAGGGGGGGGGGGGCATTAGCAGGGACGTATCTAGGGGGCGGACGGGGCGCCCCCTTGGGGCACGAGGAGGCCCCCGGATGGACTCAGGCCCCGTGGACCGAGGGTCCACGTTGGTCAAAACTAGGTACGTCTGAGACGAGCGAAGTTCTGACGGAGAAAAGCACGTCAGGTCAATCGGGGCCTTGTGATCAGGCTCACCGCTAGGGACCGTCCTTCTCACTACCCGGGGCCTCCTGTGAATAACCACTAGTGTCTGTGTCTGACCGCTAGTGGCCCTCTGACTCCTCACTACCCGGGGCTTCCTGTGAATAACCACTAGTGTCTGTGTCTGACCGCTAGTGCCCCTCTGACTACTCATCCTCAGAAGAGAGGAGGCCCTCTGTAGAGAGGAGGCCTCCCGGGATTACTACGGGCCCCTCCATCCCCCTTGGCCAAAGTCTATGGTACGTGTCTGGCCATTAGGGGCAAATGCTCCCCCACCCTGCAGCGCCCGAAATCGACTACGGACAGTTTGATGTTTTTGTATAACAGCCAACAGGTATAGCGAAAGCTAAACAACTTGTATTAGGAAAAGTTTGCTTTCAACTGCACAGCAGTGCAAAAGGAATGCAAATCCAATGAGTTTTTTTTTGGAACTTTGAGAAACTTTTTTGGAGGATATGCCCCATAGCGTCCAGGACCGCCTTTCTGGATCCGCCAGTCGTGCTATATAAATCACGTAACGAACTATGATTCGATGAGACTGATTTTTTTTTGCGTTCATGAGAAAACCAACGAGACGAATTTCGAAGCAACAATGAGAAAGGAGAATGGATACGGTAGAAGTTGTTGCGTCTCGGACGGCCTTCCTTTTTGGAGAGACTCTGTGTCGGGGGCAGCCGCTGGAGAGGGGGCGACATGTGACGTCACTGTGACGTCACACACGTCACAGTGACGTCACCACAGCCGTCACCAGTCGGCACCGCGCTCCGTCACCAATCGGCGCCATCTTTGACTCAGCCGTCACCACCACCGACTCGCTCCTACTCAGGGTGTGACTCGGAGTCAGAGGGACTCGGTTGACTCACCCATCACTCGGCTGACTCCGGATGACTCCCCAGGACACGTGATGAGTCCGTTGACTCCGGGTCACTCTGACGACTCTGTTGACTCCCAATGACTCTTCAGAGCTTGTTGGCTCGTATTCGTACCCGTTCACTCGTACTCGTTCGTCACCCGAGGACCATATAAAGTTATCCTTCACATATACACAGTGTATTCAAGATCAGTATAGGCTGCAGTGTCTGACAAGTGCAGGCCACGCCGATCAGAATGGGCAGCTGGCCCTCAGCTCGGCTGCTCGGGTCCGTTCTCACGCGAAGGCCGCCGTCGGACCCGTCGGACACACACGCCGCACCGTCGGCTGACCGGCCGAGGCCTCTCTGAGCTGCTGCTGACCGCCGCGGGGCCCGTCCCCTCTCAGCCCTCGTGGTACGGACCGATCACGGGCCGGCGGGCAGGAGACACCCGCACAGCCGGCCAGCCGTGACACATGGGCGGGCGGCGCGGCGCACCGACCGCCGGACACCGAGCGACGGCCCGCCTAGCCGGGATACGTATAAACAGCGTCTTAACCCGCTAACAGAGCTCATTTTCACTCCCAGGACTCTATTATAGACTCTGGATGAGTTCGCTGACTCCGGAGGACTCCTCGACACCCATGTTCACTCCCATGAAATCCGTTGACTCTGGATGACTCCCCATGACTCTGTATGACTCAGTAGACTCGTCGTGAGTCAATGTCGGTACGGGACGGACCTGTAACAGACAACAAACACAACAGAGTCACAACAAACACACAACAAACACCATAGATGATATGTGACACACACACTACACAGCAAACGGAGTCGCCATAAATAGCAAACAACATCGGCGTGACATACAACACAGACTGGTTTATCGTCAATATATATTGCACCACGGTCCACTGTGCACTGTCCATTACTTATCACTGTACCGGCCATCTGACAATGTGTGTAGTAGACACCACCAGAAGAGGGGGGGACCCACCTGTGAGGTCTGGGTAGAGCAACAGGAGCAGCGGGCAGAGGAGGGGAGCACAGAGCCGCAGACAGAGCACGTCAGCGACACTAGCGCCGCCTACCGGTCTGGTCCGGAACCTGTGGTTGCCGAGTACACCGCATGGAGAGGAGAATAGGACGAGAGGTTAGTGATCTCCTGAATACCACCCCCACTGGCGGATACAGTCGCCACCGTGACCAAGATGATGCTGTCGGAGAACCCGTGCGTCCTCTTGACACTGCAGCAGAGCCGACACCTGACCACGTCGTCATTAGAAGCGGAAACAGGGGTACAGGTGACGTCTCATGCCAGGTTCCTGCAACACACTCAAATCTGGTGAATACTACAGTGCAATACTTACGTGTGGCTCTGTGTGGCTATTAGCATGACCCGCAATCCGCCACGTGGAGGCTGCCACATCGGACTGCGTCTCTATTATCGCCCGAGACCCCTCAGGTGGTGCAGAGCCCACCATTTCCTGAGGGAAGACACGGCGGCCATCCAGCCCCGAGTAGCACTCGGTGTGTGCTACTCGCAGCCGATTGGTGGCGGCACAAACGGCCGTTGGGTGAGACAGCTCTCCAAGCACGGCGGAGGCAGGCTTGTATAGCACTCATCTGTCGTGGATGGCCTACACCAGCTGATCGTGGTGGCTGAAAATATACCGGTGGGTCAGGGCACTGTCGTACCACGACTGGCGTTTTATCACATATTTTTCCATAATATGTCATTGAATAGATTGGTTTACATTCTGATAAATCATAATGTATGCTCGAGCTGGGAAGGTCACCCAAGCCAGTTCCGATAACATGTGCACATGTCAGTTTTCCATTTGTTGGCCCACGTACACCTGTCTGCCCGCGGCTGAACACTGGCTCCTCCAGAGAGACGGACACCCCCGACCGAGCGTCTGTCCCCGGGCTCTGGTCACCGTCATGGCGACAGCTGGCCGCGCGGGGAGCTGGTGACGCTAACAGCGGAAGGGAAACGCGCCATCCGGGGCTGAAAATACAAATATTGAGAAAAGTGTCATTTTTAAATGTTGTTAATCGCAGATCGCCTCGTAGCAAGTATATTCACAAACGTTGGAACTTGGAACATAAACAGGTATGCATCAATCATGCAAAAATCGCCCACCAGACTAACCTGTCTCGGGAGGCCTCTCATTCTGTGACGGGCGAGTGTGCGGCAGCTGAAATGCCGGACTGCCGGATTGACTCCGGCGGTCGACGGCTCAGCTGCGCCAGAGCCGCACACCCGCCTCCGTCAACCTGTCGGTGTAGTAAATGGACAGGTGATCATTCCAGATGACTTATGAATGATGTTTTTAGATTCATGTAGTAAAAATTATTTATAATGAACGTAAGGTGGACTTGATAAGGCACAAAACTGAAACAGGTCACGGGAACTGGACACGGAAACGGGACACGATAACCGGGCAATTTACAAAAAAACAATAAGCAGATTCCGCAAGTGTAGGTACTCACGCCCGCTGGTGGTGGGCTTGGTCCTGAGGCCGGCGGTGCTGGTGGCGGTGCTGCCAATGCTGGGACGGGAGCTGAAAGACCAGAGATGAATATCCAGCACCTCATTGACCGTTGATTGTTGGTCAGTTACAATTTATTACCGAGCAAAAATCGCATATCGATGTAGTTCGTTATCTGTCACACTGAATCTGCAAAGTTTTGAGTAACCTACAAAGTACAGGACGTCTACGAGATATCCTATCCTTGAGATGCTATCTTTCAATCAATATTGGAAATACAGAAGAGTAAAGCTTATGCCAAACGCTCAATAGGATCTTATTTAACATTGAACTAAAATCGTCAAACTGCGCCACAAACGACTGAACAGAGCGTCACATTGGTCTCTGACCACCAGAGCGGTGTGTTGTATTTCACCGTCTCAGCTGCGTCACCGCCACTCACCCGTCTCAGCCGGTCGGAAACGGGAAGCTGAAATTGAGGGCCGCCATCAAAAATAAATAGAGACAATACAAAGGTCTAACCGGTAAATGATGAAAACAACATTCACCTCCCATGTGCAACTACAAAGGTTGAATCACAAATATGGATCACACAAGAAGAGTCCCCCAAACTAACCTGTCTCGGGAGGCCTCTGATCCTGTGACGGGCGAGTGTGCGGCAGCTGAAATGCCGGACTGCCCGATTGGCTCCGGCGGTCGACGGCTCAGCTGCGCCAGAGCCGCACACCCGCCTCCGTCAACCTGCCGGTGTAGTAAATGGACAGATGGTTATTCCAACTGATGTGTCTATGATATGATCGGCATGTTTCTAGTTGTATTTATTTATTTTTCACGTAAAGGGGACTAAGTAAAAAAGGTACACGGGGACGGGACACGGAACGGAACACAGGACATTGACACATAAAAATATTTGTATATCAATAAGCTGATTCCGCTGGTGTACTCACGCCCGCTGGTGGTGGGCTTGGTCCTGAGGCCGGCGGTGCTGGTGGCGGTGCTGACAATGCTGGCAGGGGATCTGAAACACAATATATAAATTTAGCACCTAAATTAGCACAATTTAGCACATGCACCATTTGTAGGTATACATCGTAACACGTAGTGATTTTTAGTTCTGACGACATGAAAACTGACCTAGGTATCGCTTGCAAGACTCCTCACAATATTTCTAAGATGAAGGTAGCGAACCCAGACCAGATACTGTCCCCCCCCCCCACCCCGCAAAAATTTGTGAATGCGCTGCACGATTAACCTAACTAACCGATGGAATGACTGATCCTTTGGCTTATTCTTAAATGGGAAGGTGTAGTGGTCAGTCAAGCTACATTTAGCCTTGACTTCTTTGCTTCTCTTAGCCATATACCATACTAACAAGGGCCTTACCGCGCTTATTCCAGCTTTGATTTTGTTTTCTTCATTCTCCTAGCAGGGAGTGTCGCGACTTGATGTATTATGTTTCGGGGTGGTGTTAACGTAAGGTTCTATGTGTCGCGCGGGTCAGTGGGTGGACACTCCGGGTCGTCTATTCATGGGCGGCGGCTTAGAAAAAAAAACCTGTGCATGAAAAAAATAAACTAACACTAAGCACACACAAAGCTGTTTAAGATTACTATCAAATCTTTTTTCAATGTATTGATAACACATACACAATTCATGCGTGTCTGTCCACTGTCAGTACAATACTAAAACACTCACGGAGGCTGGTGGTGGTGATTCCGGAGCCGATGGTGCTGGTGGTGGTGCTGGTGATGGCTGGTGGTGATGGTGGACCTAAAATAAATGGTAATTCTCATCAATATTTGATCATATTTTTATTTCAATTTGCTGAGGTTTTGTAGATAATTAAACACTTTGGAGATAAATGACCTAAGTTTTGACGTAACAGCCAAACTTTTACGAGGATGTGTTTGTTTCGTCGTAACGAGCCTCAGCCTGCTAATAAAACAAACACTCAAACAAACAAACAATCACTCAAACAAACAAATTAACAAATAAACAAACAAACAAACAAACAAACAAACAAACAAACACGCAATCGATATTTTAACGTTAGTTGAAACATACAAATTGAAACAACACAAAGGTCAAAGGTTTGGAAAAAGGGAGTAGGTATTTCTGGAGCCGCACCTACCTGCTGATGGTGGACTTGGTGCTGAGGCCGGTGGTGCTGGTGGTGCTGCTGGTGCTGGTGGTGGATGGTCTGAAGGGAAAGAAATACAAACTGACCGCAAATAGATGCAACTGTTAACCCGCGCCCTGCTGGGGGTGTGTGTGTGTGTTTGAACACCCACCCCCTTGTGGTTTTTCGCGAATATCTCAAAAACGGCGCGCGGAGCGCCGCCGTTTTTGGTACACCTTATCATACATCAATTCTACACATGTTGTGAAAATTTCAGACCAAGGTCATTCAAGGTCAGGTCACCAGGTCACTTGAAGTGACCTCACCTCATAAAAAGTTTCAATGTCTGTCATAGCTACACCGAGTGACCGATCGCTTTGAAACTTTCAGCGGTTGCTAAGAGCAATAGCATGTACAAAATGTATATCTCAGAATTTTGATATCGATGACCTAAGGTCAGGTCAATTTTGCGACCTCCCCATTATAAGTCAATGGGAGAAAATTGAAATGCGCCTCTTTTGGACGAAAGACATTATAAACACTCCCAAACACTGAATTACCAGTGGTTTAGACACACTGAACATGAAAATGGTGTCCGTGACCCTTGTTTATGCCCTGAGGTCATCTTAGGTCATGAATGGTATCTAACAGTTTTTCGCAAATAACTTTTGATAGAGGCATGCAAGAGCGATGAAAACGCCTTAGATGTGTTCAGCTCGACGATACGGATCGAATGATATGCAACATGACCCTTTCCGGTCAGGTCATGACCTTGACCTGAGGTCAAATTTTCAAGTTGACCTTTCAAGGTCAAGTTATAGATCATTCGATGCGTCTTGACGAGAGGAACACGATGCCGGTAAAAGTAAGCTCGTACAAGGCTTGGGTCAAAAGTTATTGCAGAAAAACTGTTTCCGAAAAAATCGGCTATTTTTGCAGTTTTTGCCCCCTGCAGGCAAAACCGTTGACGTTAGGTCAAATCTGAGAAAATTTCGGAAAGGGCGTTAATAGGGCTATCGAATGCGTTTTTCCGCGGCGCTGTAGCTCTATTGGTTCCCGAGTTATGCGTTGGCTTCTTGGAAATTGTCGACATTCGACCTGGAAATCGGCAAAATTTTGCCTTCAATGACCTCTGGTGACCTGACCTTTGACCTGACCAAAACATTGACCGAAATGATTTCCTCATTATTTTTGACGCTCTTTCGAACGCCGCCTTCCGCGTATCGCTACGTGGCCCAGGAGCCGAGTTAGAAGGGAGGGTGTTCAAACACCCCCCTTCCCCCCAGCAGGGCGTGGAAATCCAGGACCCCCAGCCGGGCGCGGGTTAACCCGCGAGTTGCTGGGGGGGGGGGCGTTAAACGCCCCCACTTTTTTCGCCGGGCCATAGCATAAAAACGGCGCGCCGCAGGCGCGCCAAATTTTGGGTACCTGTAGAGAATTTATTGAAGTTTATTGTGACAAAGTTTCAAAAAAATCGGTCGGAAAATTTTTGAGATATCGAGGTTTTAGTGACGTCATGATTTCTGAGTTTTCGACCAAAAACGGCATATGTTCAAAAAATCATATAAAATCACAGAATAGACATACAGACATGCCGTAAACGCCATTAGACTGCCAATACCTTGAACAATCAAATGGCTATCTTCGATTATTGATTATCGTTCCGAATTTTCCAAAATCTTGAACTGAATCTTGGCAATTTCTCGTGACTTCTTCACGACCATGATACATGCATTTCTTAACCCGCGCACCGACGGGGGGGGGCGGATATCCGCCCCCCCCTGAGGTTTTTCGCGGATAGCGGGAAAACCGCGGCGCGTAGCGCCGCGAAATTTGGTATGACTATTCCCTCATCAATTTTACACATGGTGTGCAAGTTTGAACCTCCTAACTTTTAAGGTCAGGTCACCAGGTCACTTTGAATGACCCAACCTCAAGTCACTTTTTTGCAACTTTGTCACCGTGCCAGAGCTACAGTAGATGTCGGAGGCCTTTGAAAGTCGCAGGATGTTATTAGGTCATTAGTAGCTACAATTTGTATATCTCGGAATTTTGATGTCGGTGACCTAAGGTCAGGTCAATTTCGCGACCTCCCCATTATAAGTCAATGGGGGAAAAATCAACTCCCTGTTTTTACCACTAAAACGGGTCGGAATGGCCCCATATACCATACATGACTTCACATACGATCAACCTTCACTACCTTGAGGTCTGTTTTGCTGTTGGGCAGCTGTAAGGTCATGTGACGTCATCAAAGGTCACCAAAGGTTTTTTGCCAATAACTCCTTACAGGAACAAGATACAGCCGCGCGGATGGTCTCATTGTGTTCAGCTCGTCAAGACGCATCGAATGATATACATGATGACCTCGAGGTCACGTGACCTGAGGTCAACCTTTGACCTTGACCTTTCGAGGTCAACATATATATCATTCGATGCGGATTGACGAGAGGATCACGATGATGCCCTTAGTTTGTTCCTATCTTGACTAATTCGAAAGTTATTCGAGAAAAACTCTCTCCATATATAGCGCCGCCATTTTGACTTTTTTGACCCCTGTGACGTCATCTTTGACCTGACCTGAAAATGACCTAAGTAAAAATTGTAGACCTTGTCCGTGCGTATCCGATGCCGTTTACCGCTTGTCGCTATCTTGCTTCGTTCTCGAGATCTCAGGGGGGGGCGGTCATCCGCCCCCCCCCCGTCGGTACTAAGTTGGCGCAGACCCCCGTCGGTGCGCGGGTTAAATTGAACTTTTTTAGCCAAACACGTACACATATGATAAAATGAATGTCACCATCGTGTTCTACGCCCCAAATTACCCATAAAACATGTGTCACAGGCTGCGAATATCAGTTTTGATTTTCGGGGATATGTGCCTACCCGGTTGACCTGACCTTGACCCTGACCTATGCTTGACTGACCCCTACAAGGAGCTGACACTCTTGTAGGCCTTATATGATGGATTGTGCACCGTTTTGACAGAGTTTATGACGAGAGGCGCCCATTGCGAAGTTCTGAAATCCATGCTACTGAAAGCCCGATTTCAGGTGTTTGACCTGACCTTGACCCGACCTGTGACCTCAAAATTCAACTTTAAAGTACTCATCTGAAGCGTCTCGTCGCGTTCTTTCGTTTGCCGCCTCGTGCGTTTCGCTGCGCCTATTGGTTCTCGAGTTATCGGCTGGGGGCGTCTAACGCCCCCCCCCCCAGCAAACGGTGGGTGGCGAAATACCCCAGCAACTGCCGGGTTAAACAATACAGTGGGTTCACCTCTGAACCAGTTAACCCTCGCATCGACGGGGGGGCGGATATCCGCCCCCGCTGAGGTTTTTCGCGAATAGCGGGAAAACCGCGGCGCGTAGCGCTGCGAAATTTGGTATGACTATAACCTCATCAATTTTACACATGGTGTGCAAGTTTGAACCTCCTACCTTTTAAGGTCAGGTCACCAGGTCACTTTGAATGACCCAACCTCAAGTCACTTTTTTTGCAACTTTGTCACCGTGCCAGAGCTACAGTAGATGTCGGAGGCCTTTGAAAGTCGCAGGATATTATTAGGTCATTAGTAGCTACAATTTGTATATCTCGGAATTTTGATATCGGTGATCTAAGGTCAGGTCAATTTCGCGACCTCCCCATTATAAGACAATGGGGGAAAAATCAACTCCCTGTTTTTACCACTAAAACGGGTCGGAATGGCCCCATATACCATACATGACTTCATATACGATCAACCTTCACTACCTTGAGGTCTGTTTTGCTGTTGGGCAGCTGTGAGGTCATGTGACGTCATCAAAGGTCACCAAAGGTTTTTGGCCAATAACTCCGTACAGGAACAAGATACAGACGCGTGGATGGTCTCATTGTGTTCAGCTCGTCAAGACGCATCGAATGATATACATGATGACCTCGAGGTCACGTGACCTGAGGTCAACCTTTGACCTTGACCTTTCGAGGTCAACATATATATCATTCGATGCGGATTGACGAGAGGATCACGATGATGCCCTTAGTTTGTTCCTATCTTGACTAATTCGAAAGTTATTCGAGAATAACTCTCCATATCTAGCGCCGCCATTTTGACTTTTTCGACCCCTGTGACGTCATCTTTGACCTGACCTGAAAATGACCTTTGTAAAAATTGTAGATCTTGGCCGTGCGTATCCGATGCCGTTTACCGCTTGTCGCTATCCTGCTTCGTTCTCGAGATCTCAGGGGGGGCGGTCATCCGCCCCCCCCCGTCGGTGCAAAGTTGGCGCAGACCCCCGTCGGTGCGCGGGTTAAATGGTAAAACAAAATCATGACGGAGTCCGGTATCAATATTTGAGTGTGGATAGTACTACAGTTTTTCCATTGCATTGATTATGAAGAAGAAATTACTGACAAAATATCATGTGCAGCATAGGGAAAAAAATCAGTTTATCGTTTTCAGTTTCAATCAAAGATCCACCTCCACCACTCACGGAGGCTGGTGGAGGACTTGATCCCGGAGCCGGTGGTGCTGGTGGAGGACTTGATCCCGGAGCCGGTGGTGCTGGTGGTGGTGCTGGTGATGGTGGTGGACCTGAAATAACACAAACGTTTTAACCCTCGCACGACCAGGCCATTTC